CCGGTGATGCAGGGAGACAGGCAGGGAGGGCGAAGCAGCTCCAGGAGTTCTGGTTCTGTCTGAGAAGGGGGCTTTGTTTACCATGTGAGGGAGAAACTTAACGGACAGCGCAGGGAAAGGCGGGAAGAGGGGGTTTCTTCCCAACGGCTCTGAATACCAGAGAGGGTGGAGGGTTTCTGCTGAAACATTCCTGCAGTGATGTAACGCCCTGCCACGCTGCAGCAGCCGAAGTTTGATTCATGTAAACACTAAAATAAACTGTACTCTGTGATTTCAGCTCGTCTTTGTGTCCTGACAGCAGTCAGGACGGACAAACCAGGAAATGAAAAGAACAGATTCTGGAGTCATTTGACAATTTAAGCTGCAAAGATGAAATCAGTAAAATGTTGGTCTTATGCTGTTTTTAGCTGCTGTATTGCTAGACTTTAGCTAACATTCTGATGATTTTTGGCTTAAGATAGCATTCTGCTTAGTTTAGCCCTTACTACTTTTCTTTTAGTTAGCATTTTGCTACCTCTGTTTTTTTTGCTAGCTTTTTGCTATCTCATTTTAGCTAGCTTTTTGCTATCTATATTTTAGGGGTTTTAGCTAGCATATTGCTAACTCCTTTTTTTGTTTAGCTTTTTAAGCTAGAGTTTTGCTCCCCGTTAAAGGCTTCTAGCTAGCATTTTGCTACCTCATTTGGCTTTTAGTTAGGTTTTGCTAGCTTTTTGCTACCTTGTTTTAGCTAGCTTTTTGCTTAACCTATTCTATTCTTTTAACTAGTGTAATGCTACCTCCTAAGGTCTATTCAGGGGTCCTGGAGAGGAGGGTCCGTYGGATAGTCGAACCTCGGATTCAGGAAGAGCAGTGTGGTTTTCGTCCCGGTCGTGGAACACTGGACCAGCTCTACACCCTCAGCAGGGTCCTGGAGGGTGCATGGGAGTTYGYCCAACCGGTCTACATGTGTTTTGTGGACTTGGAGAAGGCGTTCGACCGTGTCCCAAGGGGGGCCTTGTGGGGGGTTCTCCGGGAGTATGGGGTACCGGGCCACTTGATACGGGCTGTCAGGTCCTTGTACGACCGGTGTCAGAGTCTGGTYCRCATTGCCGGCAGTAAGTCGGGCTCGTTTCCGGTGAGAGTTGGACTCCGCCAAGGCTGCCCTTTGTCACCGATTCTGTTCATTACTTTCATGGACAGAATTTCTAGGCGTAGCCGAGGTGTTGAGGGGATCCGTTTTGGTGGTCTTAGGATCGCATCTCTGCTTTTTGCGGATGATGTGGTCCTGTTGGCTTCATCGGAACGAGATCTGCAGCTCTCGCTGGAGCGGTTCGCGGCCGAGTGCGAAGCGGCCGGGATGAGGATCAGTGCCTCCAAATCCGAGGCCATGGTCTTGAGCCGGAAAAGGGCAGAGTGCCTTCTCCGGGTCAGGGGGGTCGCCCTGCCTCAAGTGGAGGAGTTTAAGTATCTGGGGATCTTGTTCACGAATGGGGGAAGAACGGAGCGGGAGATCGACAGGCGGATTGGCGCAGCGTCTGCTGTAAAGCGGGCGCTGTACCGGTCCGTCGTGGTGAAGAGAGAGCTGAGTCAGAAAGCGAAGCTCTCGATTTACCGGTCGATCTACGTTCCTACCCTCATCTATGGTCATGAGCTTTGGGTCATGACCGAAAGAACGAGGTCCCGGATACAAGCGCCGAAATGGGTTTCCTCCGCAGGGTGGCTGGGCTCTCCCTTAGAGATAGGGTGAGAAGCTCGGTCATCCGGGAGGGACTCAGAGTAGAGCCGCTGCTCCTCCACGTCGAGAGGAGCCAGTTGAGGTGGCTCGGGCATCTGGTAAGGATGCCTCCTGGACGCCTCCCTGGTGAGGTATTCCGGGCACGTCCCACCGGGAGGAGGCCCCGAGGAAGACCCAGGACACGCTGGAGGGACTATGTCTCTYGGCTGGCCTGGGAACGCCTTGGAGTTCCCCCGGAGGAGCTGGAAGAAGTGGCTGGGGAGAGGGAGGTCTGGGCCTCCCTTCTGAAGCTGCTGCCCCCGCGACCCGACCCCGGATAGGTGGAGGAAAATGGATGGATGGATGGATGGATGGATGGATGCTAACTCCTTTTTTTTGTTTGGCGCCAGCATTTTGCTCCCTTTTAGGGTTTCTAGCTGCCATTTTGCTACCTTTTTTGATTATTTATTTATCTAGCTTTATGCTACTTAAGTTTTATTGCTAGTTTTTTGCCACCTTCTTATTTGGCTTATTTGCTWGCTGTTTCTTACCTCTTAGAGTTTTTATTGCTTGCTTTTAGCTCACTCTTTTGTTGTTTTTTTAGCTACTTATTTAATAACATTCAAATAAATAACCTGCTGTTTTGTGGATGACTGAAGCTGCACAAAAATACAGAAAAAGCTTCATGAATGAACTCACGTCAATAAAATTATAAATTTATTGCACTTTTTTTTAGTGCACAAGAACAATTAGACAGCAGTTTTGCAAAAACTCCAAGTTTCTCTGACTTCATGAACCAGAGACCCTGAAGTTTAAATTTAATCTTTCCACTCCTGCAGATTGGGTCTTGATCCTGCAGCTGACCGTAAAACTATGACCAAACGTTTAAAAATAACCGCGCTGTGGCGGGAAAGAGCGTTTGGCAGCACGGTGGAAAACCTGGTGACGGTGTGCAGGCAGGGAGGAGGCCGGGAGGAGGCCGGGAGGAGGCCGGGAGGAGGCCGGGACTCGGCGTCTGGCTCCTTCCTGCCGGACTGGACGATCTGCAGCCGGCTGGGATCAGCCTGCAGCGCCGGATTCCTGCCTGACGACACGCAGGGTTTTCCAGGACAAACAGTCCTGTTGGTGTTTCAGCTGAGCAGCAGAGGGAGGGAAAGTGGAGGAAAGTTCAAACAGGGACAAGACTCAACTATAGTGTAATGATTTGTTTTTGTCAGGCGCCCAGGTTTTTTTTTTTTTTTTGAACCGGGTCCAGGTGATGTTCTGTTCCAGCTCGTGCTGCTGTTCTTTCCAGAGCCCGTAAATAAATGTATGTTCTGGGAACATAAGTGTTTGTGAGAACACCGGCAGGTTCGTCGTCACGTTCGGGTTCAAACTCTTTTTAATTTTTAGTCAAACAGACGTTTCTGAATAATCTGTCAGAGATAAACCTGCTCAGTGTTTCTCATTAACAAAGAGTTCGGCTGTAATTTAGGCCTCGAACTGTGAAAACCTGTTACAGTAGGTGTTGAGGGTGACTCTCAGCTACTACCACACTAAATCACAGGTCAATATTTGTAAAACTGACTGAGTTGGAACCATTTCTTGAAGTTTGAGCTGTAAATTGATTAATTCCTGAATGTTTCCTAACATCATGACAGCAAMGGAGGTATCATGTATTTTAGAGGCTTTAGCTATCATATTGCTAACTTGCTTTTAGCTTTTTAAGCTAGCATTATGCTTGCTCTTTTATCATTTCATTTCATCATTTTTGTTAGCTATATTTTAGGCCGTATTAGCTAGCATGTTGCTACCTCCTTTTTTGTTTAGAATCATGCTCCCCCTTTAAGGGTTTCTAGCTAGCATTTTTCCTACCTCCTTATTTGGGGTTTAGCTAGGTTTTGCTACCTCTTTTAGTGTTTTTTGCTAGCTTTTTGCTATCTATTAGCTAGCTTTTTGCTACCAATTTTATTGGTTTTAGCTAGCGTAATGCTATTTCATTAATTTGTTTGGCTTTTTAAGCTAGCATTTTACTCGCCCTTTAGGGTTTCTAGCTGTCATTTTGCTACCTCTTTATTTTTTATTTTTTGGCTAGCTTTTTGCTACCTTATTTGGCATTTTATGGGCTGCCGTTTGTAAAGTTACAGTCAAAAATCACCACCAATATTTTTGTTTTATTTAGTCTTTTACAAGAAAAAAAGA